GGAAAAAGGAGCTCAAAAAAAAACCCTAAACCTTGAACCCTGAACCCTAAACCCCCTAAGCCCTACAAACCCTGAGCCTTAAGCCCTAAACTCTATAAACCCTAGACCCTAAACTTGACTTCGGCCTCTCTGCTCGGAGCTAGCCCTGCTCCTGAGCCGCGCAATGCGCAGGCAAATGGCAGCGCGCGTGCGCCCTGAGTCTTTAGGGTTTAGGGTTCAGGGTTTCGGGTTCGGGGGTTTAGGGTTAAGGGGTTTAGGGTTCAGGGTTTAGGGTTTAGGAATGTTTCCGCGCCTTGGGTCCTTTTCACTTCCTTTTGCTCCCGTTTTACGCAAAGATGCGACTTAATCTCAATCTGCCCTAGTTGTCTAGATCAGAAAGCCGAGGTCAGCTTTGTAAAGGACTCACGCCTGATGACCCTGGGAACACCAAGACACATTGAAGCCGAAGCCGGACCTCTTAGAGTAAGACCCATCCCATGAGCCACGAAAGCTCCTTGCCGTAGCATCGACGAGAGTCGCAGCATCTCATCAAGTGCAGCAGTAGGGCAAACAGGCCGGTAGTGCCGGAGCGCTATGGGGTGCAGTTAAAGCATGGAGAGCAGGAGCGTGGAACCCCAGGCTAGCGCCATGGTGGTGCTCCTCGTGCCGGAGTCTCTTGCGTTGTCTCCGAGCCGAGCATCACCACCCAGTTTCGATACACATCGGCGGTATGTCCAGAAGCTCAACAGGTACCTCATCGACGTGCTCCAGAATCCTGATGCTTTCCAGAGCAGGGTTCAGGTGCGCCGCGAAGGCTTCGGGGAACGAGCCAATGGCCGGTCGCGGCCTGTGGGGGGGTCCAGGCTCAGACAGGAGAGCATCGGAGCATCTTTCATATGAGTTCCACGTGACCGTGGCAGCCGCGTGATGGAACACATTCGGGCATGCAAAAACATGTTCCAGATATCGTTTTTTCTGCAGACGGCTTCGCTGTCTCAAGTTCTCGTGGCAGACCGGAACATTGACTTGGAGCACGCTTCCCAAGGGCCTGCATTGCAATGTCAGGTCTGCAAGAGGACGTTTCGTTGTCCCTTTTATAAACGTAATTTCTAGTGTCTCTCTGCCTGTAGATATCTCACGACCAACTGTACAGTATGCAGGCTCAGACAGGAGCATCTTCCCATCTTCCATGACTTCCACGTGGCCGTGTCAGCCGAGTGATGGACTCACTCGCGATATCAGTCGGGAATGAAACTCATCCCGAAGCCCTTTTTTTCTCACACGGCTTCGCTGTCTTAAGTTCTCTTGGCAGATCGGAACATCTACGACATGGAGCACGCTTCCCAATAACCTGCATCTCGATGTCGGATCTGCAAAAGGACGCTTTGCTGTCTGTAAACAGTTATCATCCAATGAGTTTAATGACTCTTTTCCAGAGATATCTCATGTGCTTCCTGGTGGTCGCAAAAACACGTGTCCTGGATGCATGCTTGGGCTGAGGGGAGCCTTCTTACCGTCGTTGTGTCGCCTAATTTGTTCGGGTCATGGCTGCCTGAAGTACCATGGGAGCAGGAACCCAGGCATCACTACCAAACTGAGGAAGTAGAGGCTTCAGCATCAGCACAAGACAAAGCCCATGGGATTTGAAGGTGGCGTTTGCGGCACCTGAAGCCCCAAGCTCGTAAGCTTCATAAATCCCAAACATGTGCCCTTCAAGCCCCTCTCAACTCTAAGCCATTGAATTAAAGCCTAAGTCTTCGTGCTTGGGAAGGTACCTTGCTCTCCAGCTCCTCGTCCTCGTGACGGAGACCTGGTCGAACCTTAAGTCGGACGCCTGGGTTTCTTGTGGGGTTTTGCTGGGAATTTCCCTGGAGTTCGCTAGGATTGTGCATGGCTGAATGGGATCAGGAAACTTGTCCCAGGGTCGGTTTTTCAGGGGGTGCTCTCAAGAGATGGCTGAACATGTTTGTTTTTTTGGTGAGCTTCGAAGTGGCTTTTGAAGCCTTCGAGGTTCATCGCTTAGATTAGAATGCGCTCCGCATGGCGGTTTGTTTTCAGCACAGAGCGGCCCACCGATAGAGGCCCTGAGTGGTATAGGATCCTGATGATAAAGTATAGGATCCTGATGATAAAGACACCCAAAGAGGAATTCAACGGAAAGCATGTTTCAAGATTTCAAGGCGGATTCACTGGCACCAGGGTGACTTCTGGAGCAACTACAACCTCTACGCCGGGAGCCCAGGGCTGGGACGACCCCGAGCCGTCCGGTTTCGGCTTCGGGTGGCGGAGCCTCCGCGACAGAAACGCAAGCTGAGTCATTGAGTAGCCTCCACATACCCAGGTGTACGTGTTCATCAACTCGGCCGTCTTCGTGCGAGCGACGATGATGCACGGCACCAAGCAGTCACTGAGCATGGGTGATCCCACAAGCACAATCCAGCAAGGATACCGACAGCAATCGAGTGTAGGAGCAGTTCTGCCGTCGCCATGGCCAAGTCAGCTACGCACGTTTAGTTTAGAAGATGACTCTAATCGTGTGGCACTGCTAAGCATGCAGAATCTGCAGAGCAAATCGAGTTGTTGGGTTTTGCCAGCTTTCACCTGATGCAGGGGAAGCCCAAAGCCCTTCCTCTTGAGTCTCCTGAGTCCTTAAACCTGGAGCCTGCACGGGTTTGCAGGTACATTCGCTCCAAGTTGTAAAGGTTTAGGGTTTAGGGTTTAGTGTTTAGGGTTTGGGGCCGAACATGGTTTAGTGTTTAGGGTTTAGGGCCGAACATGGTCATAATTCCCATGATCTCTTCCAGATCCGAAACGACGATCACTGTCGTCAGCATAGACAGGTTCTTCCTGAGCCTAAGCCCAGAGGTCGCAGGTGGTTTGGGACTGGTATGAAGTGCCCGGGCCTCGGTAGGCCTTGGGCCTTGCCTTCTTGAGGGCTTCCTTAAAGGGTTCTGCAGGAGTTTAGGGTTTTTGGGGTTTGGGGTTTGGGAGCGCCTATTCCGACTGTGAAGCCTTCTCCTGCGGGATTTGCTGACGGGTTTTTGGATACCGGCGATTTTTCTTATGGTCTAAAAAATCTATAGCTCCCCAAACTGTTCTGGCAGCTAGTTGCAATGACATGTTCATTCTGAGTGAGCTCAATCGAATCTTCCGGAAGCCAGGGCCCACGTAAGGCGCAAGCGAGGAAGAGAGGGCAGGCTTCGGCTTCGCGTCTACGTCGGAGGTCAGAGCGGAACTAGTGAGCAGAGTACTTCATGGAGCTTGAACCTCTCTGCTTTGCTTTAGGGCTTAGGGTTTAGGGTTTAGGGTTTAGGGCTTAGGGTTTAGGGTTTAGGGTTTAGGGGTTTAGGGCGCAAGGTTGTCTCTGTTGGCGAGCACAAGCCGATACCCGGCCATACCCACAGGCCCTGAATGGCATCGTGAAGTCGCTGGAGCAGATTCACCACAGCCTCGATCCCTGACGTCTGGCACTTTAAAGCCTTAAGCGCTAAACCGCTCCATGCGCGAAGCGTGAATCTCAAATACCGTAGAGAACACAAACCCTAAGACCCAGAAATCCCTAAGCTCCCTTATACCCTAAACCCTGAACTCTCGAAAATCTCTTCTTCCCTAAAGCCAAATCTTAAGCTCGCTTGTGCCTTATGCCTTGAACTCCGAACCTTTTTTCCTGCTTGGATTCAGCACGGCCATCCCAGAGTTTTTTAAGGCGCCTTCTGAAGATGCCTGTGCTGCCCTACCAGCTGGATGGCAAAGGCGGGATTTGGGAGTTTCCGAAAACAAGGGGTACCTTATTTTGGGGTCCTTATAATAGGGATCCTATTATTTAGGGTACTATATTAGGGCCCCCTATAATCGGAAACTCCCAAGTTTGGATGGATACGGGGCGTTGCGAGGATTTTTTGGGAGTTCTGCAAGGGTTTTGTGGGGGTGGCCACAGCGGGCGCATGTTCAGGGCTTTAGTCAGGCCTCTGGAGTTTTAGGGCTTCAGGCTTTGAGTTAAGGGCCTAAAAACACTTACCAATACTGTTTTGGGGGTTCCTGAGTATAATTAGAGTATAATATATCCCGAAACCGTAGTCTAAAAATTCAGGCCCTTAAACTCGTAAGCACCCTTTTTGTAGGCGCTTAGGGGTGGTTTGGAGGGTTCGGGTTCGGCGCGTTCGGGGTTGAAGCGGAACGCCAAGGTTTTGAAGTTCTGATTCAGAAGCACGCAAGCTACAACTCTAAAGTTAGGGTTCAGGTAGTATTTTTTGAGCGGTGGTGGTGATATTTTTGGTTGAGGGCTCGTTCGACATCACCCCTGTGAAAGCACACATTCTTGATCTCGTTGAGAATATCTTTGCTAGAAGAAATTTTAGTGTTGGTTCCTGTTTCGGCTATAACATGCTCAGACTCGTCCATCACGTATTGCGTGTGTCTTTCGGTGTGCGGAGGTTGGACAGACGAGATGCGTGTCCGGTGCTCATTCGGTTGCGAGCACCTCGCTTGCGAGGGTGCCTTCGGGCTCTCTGCTTGTCGGAAAGCCTCCGCATAAAGCCCCACCACAATTTCCTGGATTTGGGTATCGCCAAGAGCACGGCCCCCCTCCTCCCCATCCTCCGAGCACCGCAGAGGCGTAGCTTCAGGTGGGCTTGAGGCTTAGCATGCTTGCGAGATATACTGGGAAAGCAGCAGGTGAGTTTGTCGGACTGTCGGTGGTGCAAAGTACGGCTGATGGTATAAATCCTGCANNAGGAATATACCATAGTTACCATAGTTGAGGGCCCTTAAGGTGATTTATATACAATTTATATCATCAACAGCATCAGATCCTTTGGCGGCCTTTGCGAGGGTCGGCTTATGGTCTTTCCAAGGCCGGCAGACATGTAGAACTTGTCAGTAGGGTTACATCTTGGCGCGACTGGTCCCAGTAGCCGCTGTGCAGCCTTTTCGGGGAACCCGATGAACCTGAAGCTTCCTGTAAGAAAGGGGGGGGGGGGGGGAATAGTTACCTACACTATTT